TTACTATAACACACTGAGTCCATCATTACCATTACACACTGTAACACCCAGATCATCATTACTGTAACACAGATTACTATAACACACTGAGTCCATCATTACTGTAACACACTGCAACACAGATTACTATAACACTGAGTCCATTACTGTTACACACTGTAACATCCAGATTATCATTACTGTAACACACTGCAACACTGAGACCCAGATTACTATAACACACTGAGTCCATCATTACCGTTACGCCGTGCCAGTGCACCAAGTCCCTCAGCACAAAGGCGTTATGAGGCAGCAGCAGTAACTGCAGTGTCTCCATGCTGCCCCCTATCCTTTCTATTAACTAATATTTCTCACAGGAAGCTGTACCACCCCAACAACGCCCAGCTGGGCATGGCGACGATGCGAGCAGGGGTGACACACTGGCACGCAGGGCTGATTGAGGTGGGGCACAGCATGATCTGCAAGGCCTACGCCATCCTGCTGGTCACGCATGGCCCCACCCACCCCATCACCAAGGACCTGGAGGTAGGAGCCCGCCGTCCACACCCTGGCCTTGGGCACCTCCAGTATTTACTGCTCCGGCTCTGAAAGAGCCCCCTACACGCCCCCGAACTCACCCCTGCACCCTTCCTTTGCAGGCGATGCGCATGCAGACGGAGATGGAGCTGAGGATGTTCCAGCAGAACGAGTTCGTCTACTACAGCATGAGGGAGGCGGCGCTGAAGAACCAGCCCATGAAGATGATGGCCGAGCCCACGCAGGAGGCGCTCAAGATGATGTTCCGCAGGAAATAGTCCCTCCCCCCCCCCATGCCCAGCCAGGGCTGACCTCCTTCACACCTCCAGGCCCGCTGGACCAGAAGCCCACAGCCGCACCGTGACGCTCTGGCCAGGCTAGAGGACGAGACCTGCGCCCTGCGAGCCAGATCCTGTGCTCCAGCCCCGAGGGCTGGCTGCTGTCACGTTCCTGCTTGAAATAAAGATGGTTCTCACTTGCCTGTGGTGTGTGGAGTCTCTTCCTGGCAGCAGCCTGTGCCCTCATGCTGGCAGCGCTGACCTGAACCCTGGGCTTCTTGCAGAGTCGCTAGAGAGCCGCAGCTTTAATCCCCCCCCATCATGTCTGTGTCAAGACACCTGCTTTTCTGTGCTTCAAGGGGCTCCTGCCTGGAGTGTCTCATTAATTAAAACACTGGACTAATTCCACATCACCCTAGTGTCCCCAACATTGGCCCTGGGACATCCTGTCCCCCTGCGTCCCCCCACTGGACCTGGAGCATTTAACCTGGCAGGATATTTCCCCGGACTCTGGTGCCCTGCCTTTGTCCTCCTGTTCAGAAGTGACACCCTGCTGGACACCCCTGTGTGGAGACGGGAGGGGGGCAGTGAGACAGACTGGCGCAGGAGGGAAGCACTTTCCCCCTCTGCCACTGCTGCCCCGGCACAGCGTGTGGCCCCAGGCAGGGCAGCTTGCTGCTCTCGCCGCCCACTCAAGAAACAGACACAGCCAGCTGATCGCTCTCGTGCTTTATTGACACGCCCACTCGGCTCTAAATGCGCTTGCTTATCCTTTTGTACACAATGCCTCCGAGGGTCATGGTCTGAAAGACAAAGAGAGAAGAGATCAGGGGGCGCTGGTACACAATATCCCCTTGTGTGTCACACTTGAGAAAGAGGAGAACTTTGCAGAGACAGGACGGAGGGGGTTCCTAAGGGACCTGGGCCTGTGCAGGCTGTCAGAATGTGGACCGATGTCCCTCACAGGCTAGGGCTGCCTCAGGACAGCAGCGGACAACAGCGCACGCCCAGCCCGGGAGAGCCTGGAGTCCTCTGGGCTTCCAGGCCAACAGAACCCAGGGTCCACCTCCTCAGACCTGTAGCACTGATGACAGATCTGGGTCTCCAAGAACATGGCTGGAAACAATTCCAGCTCTGTGTAACAGTGCTGGACACACTGCCCAGGCACACAGAGAGATCAGCTCTCCAGTGGAACCAGTCACCACTCAAGAGAAACCTAGTCAAGCCGATACTCACATTGATGATCTGGTCTCCACACAGCTCTGTGACCGAATTGATCCCGTTCAGACACACCTTGAGCTTGTTCCCTCCCTCCATCGTCACCACAGCCTGGGGAGCAGAGGACAGGACAGCGAACACGTCACCAATCGCACGTTTACGGCACAAGTTTGTTCAACTCTGCCAACGTCATTTATAATGACAGCAGAATCAGTGTCCCAATCTTTACTCTGTATTCTCTTTAAATCATAAGGTTAAGACCCAAGGTGCTTAAATTGGTCACTTTAAGCCTGAACCAGGACAGCTTAACAGAACTGTTCTCCCAAGCTCTGAAATCGCCTTTTAAAGAAACCCACCAGGCTTTGTGCATCAATGGCACAAACTGATAAACCACGCTGGGTTCCTTCGGGCTGGGTGTGGATTTCTGCCGTCAGCCTCTTCCAGATCTGGGCATCTCTTGGCCACTAGCCTGTAGTTCTGCTTAAAGCAGCTGAATACAGTACAGCTTAAGAAACCAAAGAGAGGTTTTCAGAAGGAGAACAATCGTTCGGTCCCGTGGTCAGCAGCTCATTTGGCATTTACCCAGCGGATAAAGAGGCTGAGCCCATTTCTGAGCAGCTCTTGGGAGTGAAGGGAGCCTTTGTTCCGAGAATAAGCCCTTTTCCAAAGGTCGGGTGCTACAGAGGTCTTAACCCAGTGAAGCCGGCGGAGCGGCACTGTCTCCCCCTGCTGGCGGGAAGCGGTGCTGACCTTGACCTTCTCGCCCGTGGGCGTCTGCAGCTCGCTCTCCTGGCCCAGAGTGAACTGGTTCACCAGCACCTTGCTGCCTGTGGTCACCGTCACCTTGAAGGAGTCGCCGCTCTGCTCGATCTCCGAGACGCTCCGGATGTCCTTGCCCTTCTGGACCAGCTCGTCCGGGAGCCCTGGGATTAGGGACAGTCCGGGGCTCAGAAGCAGATCAGCAGAAGGATTAAAAGTTCTCTGAGCGGCTGAAGACAGATCATCCCGTGGCAAGGCGACGAGCCGGTCCGGTCCGGTCCGGAGCTCTCGGATCACGCTGAAACACACCCACCCACCCGGTCGCGGGGGGCTGGAGCCTGTCAGTGGGCACAAGGCAGGGTGCACCCCGAACCCAGGGCAGACTGACGCCCACCTACACACACTCACACCAGGGCCATCTTCCCCAGAGGACAACCAACCTGCCAGCTTGTCTTTGGACTGTGGAAGGAAACCCACACAAACACAGGGAGAACATGCAGACTCCACACAGACAGCACCCCAGGAACTGATCCCAGGGCCCCAGCGCTGCGAGGCAGCCATGCTGATCAACCCACCAACCGGGGACAAGCTGGAGATCCGGAGATCCGTCGCCATGGACAAAGGTTCGCAGACGAGCAGTGGGTGATCGTGCAGACGGCACTCCAGGCTAGTAACTGGCTTGGAGTACAGTAACCCGCGACTGCCCCCAGGTGCGGACTAAACTCCTCTGCCGCCAGGGAGCAGCACCCCTCGGCTCGGTGAGCGACTGCTCTTCAGCGACCCTGCTGCACCAGAGGACGGCTTCTCCCCTCCGCACGGCGGTGGGATCGGAGCGGAGCAATTCACCGGTCGGTGAACCAAATCAAAGCACCAAGCATTTCAGACCGAGCAGGAGAGTTTAAAGTACAAACTAAAAGATTCAAAATACGTAAACTCAAAGCCCAGACCGACCTCTTATTATAAGTCAAAACCGAGAAGGGGTTTGAAGACATTTCGAGCATTTGGCAGACATTTCAAATTGCAATTTAACAAAAGCAATTCCAGATAAAAATGTTCTTAAACTGACACTGCAAGGTCTCTAAAACTCCCCCTTCGTTTCCCGAGCCAGACTTCACTGTCTCAGGAGCAGCCTTGCATCCGCAGACAGGGTCCGGACCGGACCGGACCGTGGTTCCGCGACTCGGACTCGGGAGTCCGGATCAGCCTGAGGGGCGATTCTCCGAAACAGGGCTGGAGTTGCGCGCAGTATCGTGCACCCCGACCCATGTGAGCGCTAGCGAGGCTTATTAAGAGTAGAAACTGTGCTCGTTTCAAACTTTAGGAGTTACAAACGCATTAAACTTTTGTTGTCCTCTACTGCCAAGGTCTACCCAATGTACTGCGAATGCCTGTATACAAACCTGCACCACAAGGCTGTATAGCGTGCACCGAGGGGCTCACAGAGCCCTTATACAGACTATACAGTAGCTTATAAACAACCCTGACTGACTATAGCGTGCACAATCAATCAATCAAGGTTTATTTATTAAATGCACAACAGCGTACTGTACAGCGGTGTTTGTCGGCAATGAAACGCTTTTTTCCGCAAGCTCGCAAGGAGAGATAGGACAGGAGCTGACAGAATTAAGGTCACAGAGTAGAATACAACAATTTATACAATTTACACCGCGGCCGACCCTATTACAACAAATTACACAATTTACAAGATTTACGCAATGAATGACATAAGGAGATATGGTGGGGATTGGAGGTGTCGGGGAAAGAAAAAAAACGCAGGTGCATCTTATCAGTTTCAAGTGGACTGACTATTTACCAGTGGTCGTTTGGGTAACTGCTGGTGCCTGTCGTGGTTGGCTGTTTATCAGTCTTAAAAGCAATTCTGAAATCTTTTGGTCTTTGTCTCGATGCTTCGGTATCGTTTTCCAGACGAGCACCGAGGAGCTCACAGAGACCTCATACTGACTACACAGTAACCTACACACAAACCCGACAGAATAGCTGTTATACTCGCACGCAGAACACACCTAAACAACTAAACAACCTGCGGCATCGCCTGAAGCTGCGCGAACCGGCTGCCCAGATTAATAAAGGGTGCAAGCGGAGAACCGAGCCGGCCCAGCCTGGTCAGCCCGCACTCACCGATCGCCTTCATGAAGGGCTCGAAGTTCTCATGAGACACCAGCTCGTATTTCCCGGTGAACGCCATCGCTGCGGTCGGGCGGCGGGAGCGCGCAGGGACCGGGTGGTTTATAGGGCGGGGGGGCGGCGCGCCGGGGCGGTCGGATGACCTCAGGCCCGCTGAGGACCGCGGCAGGCCCACCTCTAGCCCTGATCAGATAAGATAAGGGCCAAGGAGTGGAGCCTCTCAGCGCTGGTGTCGGCAGCTCCGGGACTTAAAGGATCTCTCTGTCTGCTGTTTTCGGAATTACATCAAAACACAGCGATCATGGGGATACACCAGTCTGATTGGGGTACAGCCCTATATAAACTCCTGTGGTACACTATATAAACTCCTGTACTACACTACACAGACTCCTGTACTACACTATTTCAACTCCTGTAATACAGTTTATAGACTCCTGTACTACACTATATAAACTCCTGTACTACACTACACAGACTCCTGTACTACACTATATTAACTCCTGTAATACAGTTTATAGACTCCTGTACTACACTATATAAATTCCTGTACTACAGTTTATAGACTCCTGCACTACACTACACAGACTCCTGTACTACACTACACAGACTCCTGTCCTACAGTTTATAGACTCCTGTACTACACTATATCAACTCCTGTACTACAGTTTATGGACTCCTGTACTACACTACACAGACTCCTGTACTACAGTTTATAGACTTCTCTATTGCACTGCAGTATACTGTATACCCCATGCATTGCACCATGTAAACCCTTTAAGTATTTAATAACAAAATTGCATAACCTTTTTTAGAATTCAGTTTTTAATTTTTTTTTAATCCAGAGCACAATTTGTTTCAAGTTGTTAGGAATGATAAAACATATGGACGAAAAGTCAGAGCAGTGTCTGAATTGTCAGTGCTGTGCAGTGGGAGAGTAAAGGTTTCTCTGCTGTACAGAGCTGGGGCTGTGGAGGTCTAGGCTGTCCAATGTGCGCAGAGACACCTGATAACTCGCACTGTTACAGAAGTTACAAAAGTCACAGACAGCAAGAGTTCTGCAGTCAAAGCAAAGATCAGTGTGACCACAGGTTACCTGCTGGGCTGTTATCAGTGCAGGGAGTCACCAGGTACAGGGTGTGTCTGAGCGAAGGTGTGTGTGTTTTAGCATCACTCATGCAGCGCAAATAGCACAAACTGTGAGAAAACGTCCCCAGAAATAACAGTAGCTCCTGACATACAGGTGATGTAAGGATGTCATATTTTCTTAGAAATCAGAAGGCATCTTCTTTAAATCCAAAGGAGCCTAAACAATTTGTTTCTGGTCTGTTTTCACCTCATGTGGAGCTACTTGAATAGAAAGCGAACCAGAAAGAGAATTTGATTGAAACCCACGCAAACACAGGGAGAGCAGATGAACTCCAGAGAGAAAACGCCCCAGGTCTAGGACTGAGCCCAGGGCCCCAGCACTGCGAGACAGCATTGCTGCCCATAAATTCAGTCCACCTGGCCTGCAGCAGCACAGATAAACAGACACACACAGTGATGTGTCTGTGTCCCAACAGGAGTTCAGACGTGTCTCCAGGGAGCAGAGTCCAGACTGACTCACTCCTGTTACTTGTGACCCTAATACTGTAAATGTGATACAAGAGATGCTCATCAGAAAGGCTTAATGTGTCTGAGTTTATTGATCATGATCAGATTTCTGTATGTAAGAAGAAAAACGAGCAAGAAGTGAATCATTTACAAGACTGGCGCCTCTGAGGAACGGACACAGAGCACAGTATCACAGCTGAGAAAACCAGTGAAACATCAGCCCTCGATACAGACAGATGCAGGGTTTTGGTAGGGTTCAGGTAGACAAAATAACTGTAAATACAAAGTGAGAAATATTGAGCTAGAAGATGATACAGTTCTTGTGAAAAAGACCTGGGTGACTATGTCGACACATCGCTTAGCCTGCGTCTCCCAGGCAATGTGGGAAGCAATAAAAATACCAGGATATCTAGTGAAAAGTGAGGGAACCCTAGGGAAAAGATTTAAATCAAAGCTGGTCGTGTCGAAGATGTCAGGCTGCATTTAGAATGGTGTGTACAATGATCAGAAGAGGGAGAGACTGAGGTTCCCGCTCTGCTGTCAGAGCTGGCCGTGTGTCTGCGTGTCGGCAGCAGAGGGCGCTGTCCGGCAGGCAGCGGGTTCCCTCGCCCCGTGCCCCGTGCCCCGTGCCCTGTGGGCGGAGTGTGTGGAAGAGCAGGCGTGGACTCTGCCCCGAGACCCGCTCCGGGACCCGGGCCGCCCACTGCGCCGTGTCCAGCGCTCGGCTCGGCCGAAGTGACCGCGGTGCGGACGGCAGGACACGCAGTCTCGCTGGTGACGCCAGTCCTAATAATAGCCGCGGTCTGTAACAGGCTGAAGCTGCATTCGCAGTGCTGTGCGTAGAAAGTCCACAGTAACCGCAGCGACGAGCCTGTAAGTGCGGACTGTGTGCCTTCTTGCGTGTGAGAAAACTCTACAGATACCGTTTCTCT